GAAAATTATTTAGAGGCAATCATGGAGAGTCTTTGGTCACTTCAATCTCAATGTTAGGCCATAAATACATTAGAAGAGAATGATGACATGAGTACTTTTATAATTTTATAATATCTCAAATTCTCAATTTAAGTATTGCTTAGCTTATAATAACTGTATATATCAATGACAAAATTGAATTCATGATTATTGGTACCAAATTGAGTTTTGATGGTATGAAGTATCTTCCTAATATCAAATGATTTTTCATTAATAGTATTAACAAATGCGAAATTTAGAATTTCACTTTTATTACTAATATAATATTACTTAGTATTAACATTAAATTAAGGAAAATGCTATACGTAGCCCTTAGGGCTACATATAAGCATTAAATTTACACTTAAAAATCGTAAAAAGTTAAGAAATCATGAAAATATATATACTAATTACACTGATTTACGCGTGTTTTTGGTCATAAATTCCTAGTTTTATACAATTTCTAAGTGTGTATTTAATGCTTATATGTAGCCCTTAGAGCTACATATAACATTACCCTTGTTAAAATACTCAATACTCCCTTCGTCCCCTTTTTACATTTCTATTTGTAAAATTACACGGAAATTAAGGAATTTGGAATAAAACAAAGAACAATAAAATAAAAGTACAATGGGAATTACAAGACATTAAAGATAGAATAATATTTAGAGAAAATAATAAATACTTTATAGTCATTATTTATAGTCATTAATAATTAAAGATATTTTAGATTGAGAATTTTTTAATTCACAATCATAAAATTTTAGTCATTCATTAACCACATTTAATCTCATCGATCTTATACCATAATGGGAAATTATTGTAGATGCTTCGCAAACGATTCAGATTTAAACACACACACACATGGTCACCCCTAAACCTGGGCACGGGCCGGGTTGGCCCGCGTGCCGCCCGGCACGGCCCGCCGTTTGGCGCAGCCCGGCACGGCCCGAATTCAAGCACGGCACGACACGAAGATCAACTCCCGTGCCACGGGCCGTGCCACGGACAGGGTTGAGAATTCCCAGGCACGGCCCGGCACGAGCACGGCCATGGCCCGCCGTGTTGGCCCGTCGTGCCGGCCCGCAGGCACGGCCCGGAACGGCCCGCGGGCCAACGGTAATATTACCGTTTATTCTAGCTCCTTAATAAGCCAAAAAAACGGCTAAAAACGGCTAGTTTTTTGCCAATTTGCTCCCCAAAAATTCTATAAATACTCACCTCCATTTCATTCCCAAATCACAAAATCACAATCTCTTCTTCTTATCTCTTATATTCTCTAAATCTCTAATAATCCTTATTTTCTTAAATTCTCTAATTATTCTCTTAAATTTTCTAATTATTTTCCTAATATCGGAAAAAATTAAAAGGTTCGTAATCGTAATTAGTGGAGCGTTGAAGCACGGTTGTAAGATCTAAACTAATCTTAAATTTATTATTGTTTTATTGTTATTATTAGAATAATCTTGTTTAATTATTATTGTTGTTAATTGTTATTGTTGTTGTTATAATTGTTGTTATTAATTATTATTATTGTTACAATTGTTGTTATTATTTATTTTTGTTGTTATTGTTATTGTTATAGTTGTTGTTATTAATTATTATTATTGATATTTTTATTGTTAAAATTGTTGTTATTAATTATTATTATTATAGTTAACCACTTTTTATTAAAAAATTAATTGTTAATTATGGCATCGAACAACCCATCATCTAGGTCTAGGGGGAAAGGCCGACTTATCCGTAGTAGTAGTTCTAGGGAACCACCAAATACAACGAGCCCCCAAATTACGAGTCAAACCAATGACCCCATTTACTTCCCCCCGGGCTATGAGCCATATAATACGTCGGGATTTCCAGCACCACCACTAAACCAATTTCCACTACCACCATACCAATTTCCACCTAATTATATCGGTGATCAACAAAACTATTGTTCTAACCAAGGTAGCCAAGAAAGTACCCGAATTCCCTCCGGTTCTACCCCTTCTACTGCCACTCCCACTAGTCCCACTACTAACCATCACACACATCATGAATGGTTAACCGAAACTGAGATGCTACTTTTGAAAAACCGAAGGAGTGAGGTATGGCGTTATTTTGTCCTAAGTAAAGATGGTGAACAATGGGCAAAATGTAAAACATGTAATAGTGTATTCACGGCAGTTACCAAAAACGGGACGGGACACTTATCTAGACACATGAAAGCTTGTGCAAAACCAGCTAGTGATCCAACCCAGCCCAAAATTTCCCAATTCCATCCATACGGCTTTACATACAACTATGAGAGGGATAGGGATGAACTAGGAAAAATGATAGTACACGCCGAACAACCTTTTCTTTTCTCGGAAAGTGACGCATTCAACACCTACATTAACAAAGCACTACAACCCCAACATAAAAGAATCTCTAGGAAAACCGTTCGTTCCGCCGCAATGAAAAATTTCCTAGAGTACAAAGTCCGGTTACAAGCCGAATTGAGTAACCTTAACTGTAGAGTATCTTTAACAGCCGATTCTTGGGATAGTGGTTATAAATATCACTATTTATGTGTGACTTGCCATTGGGTAGATGATCAATGGATGTTACAAAAAAGAATAATACATTTCAAAATGCTGGAATACCCACACACCGGCATTAACATTGCTCACCATTTAATGCAAGCAATAGACGAATACAACCTTCGAGATAAAATGATGTCTATGACTTTTGATAATGCAACCTCTATGACATACACAGCTAATCTTATCAAACAAAACTTAACCGATGTACTATTAGACGGTGAAGCTCTTCATACTAGATGTGTTTGCCATGTACTTAACTTATGTGTACAGGATGGAGTTCGGGCAATTGGCCCATACTACAGCAAAATCAGAGATGCTATTATGTCTATTAATAGCTCTAACATGAGATACCAAGAATGGAAGAGTTTTATAAAACAACAAAAGATAAGGGTAATAAAAATTAGAACTGATTGCCCAACTAGGTGGAATTCCACCTATGACATGTTAACAAAGGCAATTGAGTACAAGGGCCCGTTAACATTATTTTACAACAAAAAATTTCCACAAAATGCTTTGTATGATGATGATTGGAATAATTGTGAAAGATATATGCAATTTTTACAGTTATTATATAACATGGCGTATTGTTTTTCTACTGTTTACAATCCTTGTGCTCAAAACTTTCTTTCTAATGCATGCTTACTCGCCCAACTTTTCGCTGATCATCGCCATCAAAGTGATTATGATCAGTATCTTCCAGCAATGGAAAAAAAGTGGCGTAAATATTATAGTGAGATTCCTTTGATTTATATTTTTGCTTCCATATTAGATCCTAGGCAAAAGTATGAAAACACATTTATGTTAGTTGACATTTACTTTCAATGCATGTTTCTTGACGATGATGTAGAAAACTATAAGACTAATGTGAAGGATCAGTTTTTTGCTTTATATAGAGTCTATGAAGCCAAATATGGCACCGTTCCTCGCTCAGGGCCTTCCCAACCATCCAAAAACGTAAGTAAGAAGGCCAAACATTTATTTTCACAAGCTACTAACTTGATTTCAAGGTTTTCAGGTGATTCATCAATCAAGAGAACGCAAAGCGACGTCTCGGAGTTGCAGATGTACCTGAGTTACGACTTCACCAAAGGCATGGACGACGATGAGATAAACAGCCTCGACCTCCTTGCATGGTGGAAACAACAAAGCTCGAAGCATCCAACTTTGGCGGCAATGGCACGAGACATTCTTGCTATCCAAGTTTCCTCCGTCGCCTCCGAACGAGCTTTCAGCGCATCCGGAAGGGTTTTAGACGATAGAAGAACAAGTCTAAAACCCGAAACACTAGAAATGTGCGTGTGTTTCAAAGATTGGTTGGATGCGGAAAATCGCTCACAAGATCGTTCTTACGACCACAACGACAACGAAGAAGGAACCTCCGCTTCCGGTTCGGGTTCGGCTAGTTCCCAATCTATGCAACTAGCCGATGACCTTGAAGGCGAAGGCGAAGACGAAGACGAAGACGAAGATGAGCAAGAAGAAGGAGAAGAAGAATAGACAATTATTGTATATTGTACGATTTTAAAAATATCAATTTTATCATTTTTCAATTTTTGTTTAATACCATCATTGTATGATTTTTATCATTGTTATCATTGTACAATTTTCTCAACTCAAGTAATAATAATATAAAGTACGCATTATTCACATCCAAAGTCCAATTTGCCTTTTTTCCCCGTTTTGTTACAATTTGTAAATTCATATTAAAAAAAAAATAAAATTATACCAATTACTAATAAATCATAAACATTAATTTTAAAGTAATAGTATAAAGTAAATATATAAATATAAATATTGAATATACAAATTATAAAACATAAATATTCAACTTATAATTATAAAATTCATAACTTAATAACTTATAACTTATAAGTTATAAACTTATAAGTTATAACCTTATAAAACTTATAATTATAATTTTATAACTTATATACATTATAAACTTATTAATTTATAATGTTGTCATATAAAAAAAAAAAAATTATTTGAAAACTGCACCAGCCCGCAGGCCGGCACGTGGCCGGCACGGCACGAGCCCGCCAGGCACGAGGGCCGTGCCGTGGGCTGGCCTGTGAAAATGGCCGACACGGCACGACACGAAATCCTAGACCCGCCGGCACGACCGGCACGGCACGAACCAGCCCGTGGCCCGGCACGAAATCCTGGACCCGTCGGCACGGCCCGGCACGGTGCCCAGGCCTAGTCACCCCCACAAACCCTACAAACAAAAAATTGACACCTATTCCAAACCCTTTCTTTAATTTAATTTCTTTCTTTAAAAGAAAAAAAGAGCTACCTTGAAAAAACAAAAGATAAAAAGGGAAACCCCAGCCTAGAAAAGGCAAAAAAATAAAATTAATTTAATTTTAAATAAAAAAAATAAATTACTGATTAAAACAAAAAAATTAATCATAAATAAAAAAATAAAAACAAAATTATAAAATAAAAATATTAACCTCCAAAAATGCAGCTGTTGCCGTCACCAATGTCCCTTCCTTACCACTTCTCAGGTTCAACTGGTGCAGGCTCCAACAATTTTCATTTCATTACTTATAACCCTTCTTCCTTCTTTTCAATCACCCTCTCTTAATTTTCCCCCAAATTTATTAAAATTAATTTTTAAAAAACCCTAAATTTTCTTCATTGACTTCAGCCATTTCTGCTTTCTCTCTCCTGTTCTGGGGTTTTTTGTTGTGAAGATTGTTCTAGAAATTCTTCAAAAATGGGCTTTCATGGAATCTGTCTTTAATGGGTAAATATTTGAATCTTGTTTTTTTAAGCTAAATTTTTGTTTTTTTTTATTTCTGGGTATTTCCCCCTTTTTTTCTGGGGTTTTTATGGATGTGATCAATTTGATTCGATACTCATCGCCGAATCTTCATGAGATCCTGTGGTTTGTTCATGTCTTCATTTGATCATTCACTTAATTATACCTCATCTTTTATCTGTCAAATAGATCAGTTTTTATTCCTCTTTTCGAATTACAAACGATGGATTCTGGAATTCTAACCCTAGTTTTTTGCTTTTGTTTTCATTGGATTCGTCCTTATTTTTATCTGTGATAAGAAAAAGAAATTTGTTGGTGGGTGTTTTGATTTGGACTTTGATTGATTGACAAATATGGAAAAAATAAAGAATTACGATGGTGATTTCATTTGTTATTAGTTCAGAAAATTGAAAACCCTAGATTTGGGGGAAAATAGAAGTGATTAACCAGGGTTAGAGATACATAGATGATGGGGGAAACTCTATTGACAACCTTATCGATTGAGAATTACCATCCATCTACTGTGTTGTCCATGGATTCAAGCTCCTCGTCTCATGACGAGTCAGAGAGAGATGTGAATCGGTCGGTCCTGCAATCGGGACCGCCCGATATCAATCTCCCGTTATCGGAAGATCCCAGCGTGCTCCCGCAATTGTGGAATGATAGTTGTGAGATTTTAGATGTTGGTCTAGGTCCTCAAGTTGTTACTGAGGGTGTGGCAATTGTGAATGTTCCTAAAGTGGGTAGGAAATGTGCTAAACGCGTTGATAGTATATGGGGTGCTTGGTTTTTCTTCAATTACTATTTCAAACCCGTGTTAAAGGATAATTCCAAGTGTAAGGTTACGAGAGATAGCAATGGTTGGGGTGGTTTCGATAAGTCTGACTTGAAACTTGATGCTTTCTTAGTACAGCATGATATGGAGAATATTTACATGTGGGTATTCAAAGGGAGGCCTGAGAATGCGTTAGGGAAGATGCAGTTAAGAAGTTTCATGAATGGACACTCTAGGCAAGGGGAGCGCCCGTTTCCTTTTAGTGTTGATAGAGGATTTGTGAGGTCTCACAAAATGCAGAGGAAACATTATAGGGGCCTGTCCAACCCGCAGTGTATTCATGGGATTGAACTGATTGGGTCACCTGATTTTACGGGTTTAGATGAATGTGAAAGGAAGAGGTGGCTGGAGCTTACAGGCCGGGATATGAACTTCTCGATACCTGAGGAAGCAAGTGATTTTGGTTCTTGGAGGAATCTCCCACCAATGGAATTCGAGCTAGAGCGCCCTGCTCTATCTACAAAGGGTGCTCAAAGAAAGGTAATTCCTGATACAGGACTGAATTTATCAACTCAGACATCCAAGCACGGTCTCAGCAATGGGGTGGATCTTTCTCATGTTGCTAAGAAACAAAAGAAAGACTTTTACTCTAATGGCAGCATTGACAACGGATTTCTCCTAATCAACTCACAGTCTGACAGTGTATTGGATGTAGAATCTCATTTGGCTGAACCTGTATGGTCTAATGAATTTAGCGGGGTGATGAAGAATGTCTATGGTCCTGTCACAGCTGCAAAAAGTATATACGAAGATGAAAAGGGGTTCTTGATTATTGTTAGCTTGCCCTTTGCTGATCCTCAAAGGGTGAGAGTTACATGGATGAATACCCCTACACATGGAATTGTGAAGGTTGCTTGTGTTAGCACAGCTTGCTCACCCGTGATTAAGAGACATGGCAGGACATTCAAACTGTCTGACCCGATGCCAGAGCACTGCCCTCCTGGAGAGTTCGTTCGGCAGATTCCCTTGCCTTCACGGATCCCAGAAGATGCAAAGCTTGAGGCTTATTGTGATGAAACGGGAACGGCACTTGAGATAATGGTCCCTAAACAACTTGCTGTACTGGAAGAGCATGAAGTCCATGTTAGCCTTCGGCCTTCTCCTTGGGTTTGATTTAGTTTTATTATTATTAAGTCTTAATGTAAGAACAATTTAAGATGTTTACTATGGTAACTATCCCAGCATTGATAACTAACTGTACCACATATAAAGGACACGCGTTGAAGTTTACTTGGTGTTCTTGATAATTTTTTCCTGTTTTTCATACCATTATTTTTTTGTGCACAAGTTCTCGACCCTTGAGTCCAATTCTTATCAGAAAATGGACTCTGCTTATCTATTTTCCAGGAAGCATTATCTCATGCAATGGCTTAGTACGGAAGCTCTTACTGACTTTCTGGTAGGCCGTTCATCGACGCCCCTTTGGTCTCTACCAATGGTAGGATCCACCTAGGATATTGTTGTTTGTGAATTTGTGATATTTTCCAACCTTGTTGAACACGAGGATCAACTGGTAGGGCTAATCGTAGCAATAGCCCTGTTCTCTTTTACCAATTCTAGAGGGAACTACGGTGATACTTTTTTGAATCCTTTAAGGGGTGGCGTAAATGGCTATTGTTCTTGTATGTTGACGTCCCTTAGATTTATGGAACATGCTACCCTAGCAAGCTTGCGCCCCACCCCTCTTCTTTTCTTTCCACTTGCTTTTGTCCTTTCATCATGTATTGTAGCTTTACAAGAGCCAAATAAAGGATTTATGGTGTTGTGTACGACTTAGCAAAACTAAAATTGTCTTTCTTTACAGCACCCTGTTACCCCTCTTAAGGGAAGCATTAGAAAATGGGACTCTCTCTGTGCAGTCCCATCTCGAGAGGGAATTTAGTTTGCCGTAGATAATTGAACACTTGTACTATCTCAGATACCGTACGTTGCCATTAAAGGCGCAATTGAACAGACGTATGGATGTGGTTTTGCACCTCTTTGGTATGAACTATTGTGTCGCTATACCACGTTTTAATTTTATGCAGTTCCTAGAAGTTAAACAAATAAAAATTGTTTCGGTTATTAGATAAGAAATCAGCGAGGGGAGTAAATCTGGGAAGGAAAGCACATTTGAATAATGCACATCTGAATATGATGCAAGGGAGAAGTGTACGGGTTCAGATCGCCTGGAATAGCAAGCAACAGAAACAGCTGACAGACGAGTATGTATGGCACACTGCGAGCTGCTTACCCTCAGCATCATAGGTAGCACAATCTCCTGCAGCATCCGAAGAGTGTGAATACTGGAGGTACCATGTTTTAATGTTTTATCAGTATATCACTCAATATATTAGTTGTTTGAAACTCCTTTACCATGATAAGTTGATAACTACTAAAACTAAGGCTTCTTGGTTATCACAACCAAGGAATCAACTTCCCATATCAAGAAGCAATGGACATAATTGATGGAATCCAAATCCGATTGCTGTTACCTGAAAGCATATTTGTATGCCAAAAAAAAACAAACACTCGTTCCAACAAATCAAGTCAATAATAGAGGCTTCAAAATTTTATCAAATACTTTTCAGAATATGCTAAAGCTGCTGAAACCAAATACACTGATAAGTGAGTTTTCCTAGCCCAGTTGCACTTTATCTATATTTATTAGAACTTATCAAGGTTGTAAATGTAATTTTATTTTTTATTTTTTTTTTTTAATAAGTGAGTTTCCTTCGTCCAGTATTGATAACCTTGTTAATTAACTATGGAGTACAAAATTGACTTGGCTAAAAAGAAAAAATACTAGAGTAGTAATTAAATAAACCTAATTGATTTGACTTTATTACTATAACTAGGTTAAATCCCGTGCAATGCATAGTTGTTAAATATTTTTGATAATTTTATTATAAAATTTTTAATATAATGACTTGAGTATTAAAAAAATATAGAGTATATCAAAAATAAAACTGTGCAAGAGAAAATATTTAAAATATTTTATATAAAACAAATTATGTCGTAATTTAGATGTAATTTATTTTTTCCTTAATCAACAACGATATTTTGAGAAAATACTTTTGGCGGAAATTTTTTTAATAATATATTGACAAGTGTGTCTATAGATTCGCTTTTAGTAGTATGTAATTGATTGATTGATTGATTTGAACATATTACATTTTTGGCAATCACAAAGTTTCATATGTGACTGACCACAATATTAAAAAAAATGTGACCAGCCACAATATTAAAAAAAAATCATTTTCTTCTCCTCTCCCTCCTCTCTCTCTCCTCTTTTCTTCTTCTAACTTGGGGTTACTCCTCTTCTCCCTCTCCTCTTTCTCCCTCTTTTCTTTTTCTCCAAAATTTGAATTTTTTTATGAAGAATCGTTGATGAGAAGTTGACGTCAAGTTTTCAAGGTCGGAGCTCCTCGTTATTGTCGCCGGAAAACAACTTAAAGGTTTTTAAGGCCAAATTCGGGCATTAAAACTCTGGATCTAGAGTTTTCATAGTCGAATATGGCCTTTTTAGCCATATTTGAAGTGAAATTCAAAACCATTGTTAATTTTAAAAGTATTTGTTCAATTTATTTATTATTTTTTTTTTTACGATTTGGTTGTGGGTTCAGTTGGATCTATGCTTGTTTGTGGGTTCGGTGTATGGTGGTGGTGGCATGGTGTATTGGGGTGGGGCTAGTGGCGTATTGTGGGTGGTGGTGGGTCAAGGGTTACTAGGTCGGGGGTTACTTAAGAGGTTACTAGATGGGTAGGTTGGGGGTTAATTAAGGTGTTACTAGATGAGTTACTTGAAGGGTTACTTAAGTGTGGTTACTGAGGGGTTACTTGGGAGGAAATTTAAGTGGGATTATTGGAGGGGTTACTTGAGGGATTACTGAAGAGGTTACTTAAATGGGGTTAATTGAGGAATTATTTGAAGGATTAATGGAGGGGTTACTTAAGAGGGGTTACTAGAGGGGTTACTGACGTGACACCTTGTCGCACAAAAACGCGCTGAAATCAGTATATTCTCTAGTACAGTTCATTTCTTTTTCTTTCTTTTTGGCCAACTCAGTTTAACATTTAGATAGCATGTGATCCTTTGAGTCCATTAGAGCTAGAGGCCATATCTTAGAACTTTACCTTTTTCAACCAAATTATTTGATAAATAAAGGCATCTCTCCACTCTTGTGGGGGGGACTTATAACATAAAGGGTTTTTATCAGCCAAAATTGTGTACCAACTATTGTTTGGATTGAAAATTCCATCAAACTTATGAGATTATAATTTTAGATATTTTGTTAATTTTATACCTTTATTAATTATTAGAGTTATAGTTTTTAGTACACAATTTTGATTATTAATATCTTTTATTTTTTAAAAATAATTGCTATATTTTTTTTCGCTTAGTGTCAAAATAACTATATAAGGTCAAAGAATAATGTATAAACAAAATACAATTCCTAATGTTGCAATAGAAGAGTATATACGATTGCAATAGAAAGGTACTATGTATATAGGACTGTAACCTTTGGTGTCATTTTTGTTCATTCCATTTGGAATCCTTGTATAAGACAAAAAAAAAAAAAAAAAAAAAAAAAAAAAAAAAAATCAAAATGAGAAGAATTAAAAGGATTAGGATTTTTTTGTCCAAAACTACCTTCATTTGACAACTATTTATCCAAAACTGCCTCATAATTTTTTTTTTGTGCACAACTACCTTTAAAATGAGTTTTTATTGTTGACCACTACCTAAATATTTTTTCAAACATTGACCTTAATATTCAGGTGACTTAAAGGCATGTGCAAGGCACATGTTTTAGCTTTTAATGATTTTGTTCAGCACCGTCTCAAATAATTTGAAGGCCCTGTACTAATTATAATTAAGAGGCCCTTAAAATTAATTTTTTCTTTTCGAAGATTAATTTGGTAGTGTTTCTTGAAACTTAAAATTTATTTAATTGATCTATAATACTCCACTATTTATCTTATGTCTGACTTAATTTGGGGCATAAAATAAAACTTGTATATTGTCATTAATAAATACTCTGTAATATTAATCTGGGTAAAAAAATAATAAAATTAATAATAATAATGTTAGTCCAACATGTGCTGTTAATGAACCAAGCCTTGGAAATTGAGCTTGGCTCAAGCTCGAGTGGTCCAAAAAGTGGAGCTCGGCTCGTGGCTCGTTATTAGCTTGAGTCGTTATAAGGTAGATATTGAAATGCATAATTTACGTCACACAACTTACTCAAACAACCCAAGGCACAAAGTTTAATATCCCGTTTTTTTTTTTTTTTTTTTTAAAAAAAAAAAAAAAAAAAAAGTTTAATAGTGGGCTGTTGACCTCTTGTTATTGTTTTTATTAATTATTAGTAACATTTTTTTGTTGACAAGATGTTATTAACTTATTAAATTTATTTAAGCGTAAAAAAAATATTTATTTTTAAAAAATCTTCGAGCCTCTTGCGATCTTTCCAAACCGAGCCTAGCCAGGCTCGTGTATCGTCTCGTTTAGTCTTGAGCCGAATCCGAACTCGAGCCTAACATTGACCAAGCAGAGTTCGAACAGTTCATGAGCAACCTCAACGGAAAATTAGCAATAAATGAAATTTTGAAGTTTTGACAACTTTATGGGGGTAATTAAGTTATAGGAATCCGGTATAATTGTGTTTATTTAGCTCTGATTCGCGTGAATACAAGAAGTCAGAGGAAATTGATTTTTTTTTTTACAATTGGGCTCCGAAAATATTGGGCCCTCAATATTACGGCATTTACGGGGCCCTGTGCTAAGGGTCTGTTTGCACAGGCCCTTAGTCGGCCCTGTTTTTTTTTTTTTTTTTTTTAATATAGCCGGCCCTGATTTTGTTTTATTTTCCCCCATTTTCATCCATTTTCTCTCTCTTGGGGAAAAAAAATTAACAAAACCATAAATAAATGAAACATGTGCCCTGCACATGTCTTTAAGTAACCTGAAAATTAAGATGAACGCTTAGGTAGTGGTCAACAATAAAACTCATTTTAAAGGTAGTTGTGGACAAAAAAAACCGAGAATCTTCCAAAGGTTCAATAATCTCTATAGTAAAGCATGAATTGTGAACCATTATCAACAACTTACAAATAGTGCCATAGTGGACATTGAACTAGTTAGTTAATGTTGGCATATAATTGAATTGCAACCCATCTGGAACAGTTATAATTGTCAATCTTCAACTACCAAATAGTGGGTTAAACTGTTAGTTAACAAATTTATTGTAGTACACTGTTTTTT